TCGTCTCTCGTTATGCGTGTTAAGGCCGACGCTATGTGCGAGAAATTGGCGATAAATTTGCGTTAGTAGGCGCAGAGGTCAAGAAAACGTCCCACAGTCTTCTTATCCATTGGCACCGAAAATTTTCGGATGGCATCGATCTTGTCGGGGTCTGGACGAACACCTTCATGGCTCACCACATGTTCTAAGAGTCGGAGTTCTTTGAAACGGAAATGACATTTGTCAGGTTTCAGTGTTAGGCCGGCGGACCGTATTGCTCAAGATACTGATAACAGCCGTCTTAAGTGTATCTCGAATGTTGCTGAAAAAACAATGACGTTGTCGAGGTATACCAGACACGTCTGCCACTTAAGGCTTGATAGGACGGTATCCATCAGTCTCTGAAATGTTGCTGAAGCTGAGCACAATCCGAAGGGCAAGACTTTAAACTCGTAAAGCTTGTCAGGCGAAACAAAAGCAGCCTTTTCTCTGTCTCGCTCATCGACCTCAATTTGCCAATATCCGCTTTTCAGGTCCATCGACGAGAAGAAGCATGCATGCCTCAGCCTGTCAAGCGAATCGTCAATACGTGGTAATGGGTATACATATTTCTTTGTCACGCGATCCAGCTTGCAGTAGTCCACTCAGAAGCGTAATCTGCCGTCTTTATTCTTAACTAGCACTATTGGTGATTCCCTAGCGCTTTTTGACGGCTTAATGATGTCATCATCGAACATTTTCTGGACTTGTTCTTAAATTGCTTCACATTCTTTCGGTGCCACACAGTATGGGTTTTGTCGAATTGGTCTTGCCGTCTCTTCCGTTATAATTCGGTGCTTTGTCAGTGGCGTTTGATTTACCCTCGAGATCGATGAAAAACTATCTTCAAATTGGCCGAGAACATCTATAACACTCTGCGCTGGCGATAAATCTGTGCTCATGTCGACAAGTGGTGGTGTTGAAGCAGCTGGCGTCTCTGCCTGTTGCACTGCGAAGCACTTGCGGAATTCTGCAATTTCTTAGAAGTGTGCAACTGTGGTACCCTTTGTAATGTGTCGACGCTTGTTGCTGTAGTTCGTCAACAAGACCTCTGCTTGCCAAGACACTACACTGAGGAGACTTCTGGCAATAGAAATTCCTTGAAAGAGTAAAAGCGTTGATACTTGTTCCGCGACACTTTCTCCAGTATGCTGCGTGTTACACGTGGCAGAGACGAGGCGGAATGATAACGATGGCATGGTCACGTCGTCAATGACGCGCATAGACTTGCCCTGCAGCGCTGCGCTATGGTCCGCTGAGAATGTCAGTACAGAATGTCGGTATATTTATGATGGCACCGTACTCCCGCAAGAAATCTATAACCAAGATGGCCTGTTCACAACACTCAGAAAGAATAACAAAGATTGCGACGAATGATGAATCCCCGATCTTGATTTGTGCAATGCACTTTCCGGTAAGCATCAGCAGCTGACCTCCAGCTCTTCTAATTTGCAGTCCCGTCCATTCCATTTTCACCTTCTTGAGTTTGTCGGCCAGATTCACGCTCACTATTGAAAAATCCGCACCAGTGTCGACCAGTGCCGTCACGTCGTGACCGTCAATTAAAAGTGTAATGTCAGCGGTGACAGTCTCATCTTTCATAGATTCATTCGAAATGTGCAGCGCTTTGCGCGGCGGTAGTGGGGGATTTTCAACTCTTCGGCAATTCATAATCTTCCCTCCTAAGGTCGCTGCTTTTAGTTTCCCCGGCGTGGACTGGGAAATGTTCCTCTCGCCATGTCCGTAGTGCTACTTCTATTAGATTGGGGAAAATGACCAGGAGAGGGCGAGCGTGACCAGAACCCAGGAGAAACGTCCCGCGGGATTGCATGCTCGTATCTACGTTGCGTCCTCCGTTGGAATAATGCCGAAGGGTAGTGGACAGAAATCCTTGGTACCCGGTGACGCGATGAGGACAATACTGCACGATGTGGCCTGCTTCCCCACAATGGAAGCACAAGGGCCTGTAGTCAGGGTTACGCCAGATATCGTTTTTGCGGAGTGGAGGTCGCATCGGCGTTGACGTTTCCCTGTAATACCAAGGCACTGTCGGCGGCTGTTGCTGGTGGTACTGCTGAGGTGGCGCCACGTTAGATGGCTGTTGACGGAGGATATCTGCATAGGTTAGCCTAACCAAGTCAGTGCTCGGCTTGGGAAGTGAAAGCACTTGCCTTATCTCTTGGCGTACAACTTCTGTGACCGATGCAATCGTGCAATCATTCGGTGTGGGGGCGAGCTTCTTCACCTTTTCTTGCACAATTTCGCGTATCAGGTCACGCAAAGAACGCTCGTCAGGTGTCACAGTGGTCACGGTGGTTGCGCTGATTTGTCCGCTGTTGTTTGGGCGGTCGTACTGACGGTAGCATAACTGTAGTGCGCGTTTGATGGCGATGCCTCCTTTGAAAATTCGTCGACGCTTGAAGGTGCGTTCCGCACAAGACCAGCAAACAGCTGCTCTTTAACACCGCACAAGAGGTGGCTGATCTTTTTGCTCTCGAACATATTGGGATCGGCTCAATGGAAGAGATGAGCCATGTCCTCAACGAACATAGCAACAGATTCGTTTGGCTTTTGAATTTGTGATTCAAGGAGTCGTTGCGCACGCTACCGCCTTTCGGTGTTTGCGAAAGTGTCCAGGAACTTTCACCGGAACTCGTCCCATGTTGACCACACGTGATTCGTAAACCATGTGCGAGCCCCGTCTTGAAGAGGGAAATACACGTGCCCCAACTTCTGTGCAGCGTTCCACCTGTTAACGTTGGCTTTGCGCTCGAGCTCTTCAAGCCAGTCATCTGCGTCCTCATATGTGTTGCCGTGGAAGTCCACAGGAATTTTAGGGGTGAAAACAGTCAGCTGTGCCGTGCTTGGGCGGGTCATGACGGGGCTACTGCTTCCGGGCGCGGTCATGTTTTCCGTCCAAGGACCGAACTTTGGGCTCAGGCCTTATAGGTGGCGGCTGGCGCGGTGAACGGATGTTTCGACGAGCGGAATTCTTTGTGGACGAGATCCCGGGCTGTTGGAAGGTGCCTTGGACATATACCCAGCTCCTCCACCAGTGTCAGGATGCAGACACAGCAGAAGTCGGATATAGGAGAGCTCACTTTAATTAAATGCAAGGGGCTCATAAAAAATACCAGGCAAGAACTTTGTCTTTCTATCTTGCTGCGCCAGCTCTTCTCTGCTGGTTGAATGCGGCAATGTCAAAACAAAGAGGCAGTGTACTTTACCACCAAATGCACACTACATCCCAATAAAGTACTAGTATTTCCCTTTACAAATAAAGAGTGTGAAGAAAAATGGACAGTTAATTGAAAGAAAAAAAAAAGTCCCTCCTAAGGTCGCTGCTTTTAGTTTCCCCGGCGTGCACTAGGAAATGTTCCTCTCGCCATGTCCGTAGTGCTACTTCTATTAGATTGGGGAAAATGACCAGGAGAGGGCGAGCGTGACCAGAACCCAGGAGAAACGTCCCGCGGGTTTGCGTGCTCGTATCAACGTTGCGTCTTCCGTTGGAATAATGCTGACAGGTAGTGGACAGAAATTCTTGGTACCCGGCGACGTGATGAGGACAATACCGCACGATGTGGCCTGCTTTCCCACAATGGAAGCACAAGGGCCTGTAGTCATGGTTACGCCAGATATTGATTTTGCGGAGTGGTGGTCGCATCCGCGTTGACGTTTCCCTGTAATACCAAGGCACTGCCGGCGGCTTTTGCTGGTGGTACTGCTGAGGTGGCGCCACGTTAGATGGCTGTTGACGGAGGATATCTGCATAGGTTAGCCTAACCGTGTCAGTGCTCGGCTTGGGAAGTGAAAGCGCTTGCCTTATCTCTTGGCGTACAACTTCTGTGACCGATGCAATCGCGCAATCATTCGGTGTGGCGGCGAGCTTCACCTTTTCTTGCACAATTCTGCGTATCAGGTCACGCAAAGAACGCTCGTCAGGTGTCACAGTGGTCACGATGGTTGCGCTGATTTGTCCGCTGTTGTTTGGACGGTCGTACTGGCGGTAGCATAACTGTAGTGCGCGTTTAATGGCGGTGCCTCCTTTGAAAATTCATCGACGCTTTAAGGTGCGGTCTGCACAAGACCAGCAAAGAGCTGCTCTTTAACACCGCACAAGAGGTGGCTGATCTTTTTGCTCTCGAACATATTGGGATCGGCTCAATGGAAGAGATGAGCCATGTCCTCAACGAACATAGCAACAGATTCGTTTGGCTTTTGAATCTGTGATTCAAGGAGTCGTTGTGCATGCTACCGCCTTTCGGTGTTTGCGAAGGTGTCCAGGAACTTTCACCGGAACTCGTCCCATGTTGACCACACGTGATTCGTAAACCATGTGCGAGCCCCATCCTGAAGAGGGAAATACACGTGCCCCAACTTCTGTGCAGCGTTCCACCCGTTAACGTTGGCTTTGCGCTCGAGCTCCTCAAGCCAGTCATCTGCGTCCTTATATGTGTTGCCGTGGAAGTCCACAGGAATTTTAGGGGTGAAAACAGTCAGCTGTGCTGTGCCTGGGCGGGTCATGACGGGGCTACTGCTTCCGGGCGCGGTCATGTTTTCCGTTCAAGGACCGAACTTTGGGCTCGGGCCTTATAGGTGGCGGCTGGCACGGTGAACGGATGTTTCGACGAGCGGAATTCTTTGTGGACGAGATCCCGGGCTGTTGGAAGGTGCCCTGGACATGTACCCAGCTCCTCCACCAGTGTCACGATGCAGACACAGCAGAAGTCGGATATAGGAGAGCTCACTTTAATTAAATGCAAGGGGCTCATAAAGAATACCGGGCAAGAACTTTGTCTTTCTATCTTGCTGCGCCAGCTCTTCTCTGCTGCTTGAATGCGGCAATGTCAAGACAAAGAGGCAGTATACTTTACCACCAAATGCACACTACATCCCAATAAAGTACTAGTATTTCCCTTTACAAATAAAGAGTGTGAAGAAAAATGGACAGTTAATTGAAAGAAAAAAAAAAAATCTCTCACCACATATTATTCTCCTAAAGAAGACGAGTCCGATGTCCACGTTGCTAAGAAAGAACATGCACGAGAACATGGAGAAAAGGAAGTGTGGTGCCGAGACAGCAGCCCTCAGAAACTGCAACCGCATTCCACCAAAGAAGGTACCCTGAAAAAAAAAAATTTTATGTCCCGAAGCCATGCCATGGTCATGAGGGAGGCTTTAGTGAAGGGCTACACAAATTTAGATCACCTGGAAGTCCTTATTGTGCATTTATATCTAATCATACAGGCCTCCCTCTATCAAAACTGTCTAGAAGATATTCAAAATGTACAGCCCCATCTGTCGACAAGCCAGCAAGCCCCATCTGCCACATTATGCTGGACGCGAAATCAAACCGGCCTCATATCAGAGTCTTTCAGGTGTTATCTGCTGACTTTTATCTTGCCTCTGCAACTAAGTACTTAAAAGTTTGTGTGCTGTTCAGGCAACGAAGAAGCCATAGCAATGCCAGAAACAACGTAACACGAACTTTAACCGAACGTGTTAGTTACCTGAATGAAGAAAATGGTAGTACTGATGTGAACTTGTTTCGTCAACAAGATTGGCACTGCACTTTGATTTGGAAATAATTGGCATGTGCATAGGCGCTCTTGAATCTCAGTTCTTATTTCTGGGTGCAACTTAGTTGCTGGCCTGCATCATAAATGAGGCTTGCCGAACAATACTACGATATCCACATTTAAAACAGATGGCCGATGTCGCACACGTGTGAGAGAGCATGAATGATTAAAATGAGCTTGTTGGTGTTGCAGATCGATGAAATCGATGATTTTATGTATGTGAATGCGTGTTAGCAATGCCGTAAACGATGCTGGGCGTGACTATGGGATATCAGTGCCGCCGCTACGAGGCTGGATTGACACAAAGGCCCAAACACGCATCTCTGTTCAAGTGCACGTTCGTCTTCGCGTGACCTTTTGACCCATTGCAGATCATGCAAGTGCAAACCTTTTTTTCTGCGACATTATTGTTAGACAAACACAAAGACAAAAGGGCACGTGAACTTGCTGAAGCATTACTTATAAGAAACGAGGGTAATGATTTTATATCTGAACCGTCTGCCTACCAGATTATGAGCTGCACAAGCTGAACGATTTTTTGACACCATCTAAAATTTCTGCACACGCATGTGTTGGTTTTCGTTGCCATTCATTTTTGTTTGATTAAACTCGAGTTGTTTGACAGTGCTCACACTGTATCGTTTTTCTCTTGCGCTACGTCTCGTTCGCGCTAAGTTTTTCGAAATGCCTGGATGTCGAAATAAATGGCCTCATTTTCTCGGTGCAAAATCTTCAACTACTGTGGCTCAGTTTTTTCTATGGGGTCACTACAGACAGTTCTGCGACTGTGCCCAGCAGGAAACGAAGGACGTTCCAAGTGTTGCCAGAGAAACAAGCATTATGAATGTCCCCCATTGAATATAAATCAAATATGGCATGCTATTCGAATACTGAACAGTCTTTAAAATTGATTTAAGATAAGTCAAGTAGCATACACATCACATTTGAAACTGTAGCATTAAAAGTACAAACGACTCATTAAGAACAAATTGAGAATTACAGAAGCTTGGCTTTGTGAGCAAAACAGCCAGCTGAACTGTGTAAAATGTTGATGTTTCATGGCTATCCCCTGCCTGCAGGAATAGATTTCATTATGCTTTCAAACAAACTTTGCACTTACTTGGGTGCAGTCAACATTTTGAAATATTCGTGAGCAGCTAAATAAATTTCTACTGAAAAATTGCCACTCGATTCAAAGAAGGGCACCACTTGATTAAATATTCCAGACTTTCAAATATTTGCACACCCCTACAGAAACATAAGAAAGGGCTACCTCAATCTTCTTCCAGCTGTTTCTGTTCCTGATGACTTCCATCAGGAGCTCGGTAGAGATTCCGACAAAGTTGAGGGTGCACCACACCACGACTGCGCTGTCCATGCCGTGCCACGAGCAGACAAAGGCAAAGCTGGCCGCTGCCCCCATCATGCGACGCCGAGGTGTCCACCCGTTTGCCACGATTGGCCGGTAGATGTACCTGCACAGAATACGTACACTGGTTGAACCTCTTTGCTCCCTGTGTCCACGTTTGTGGATACGGCAAATTTTTTAAATGGGCCCTGCAACACTTCTTTAGCATGGTCAGAAAACGCTGCTGATTGGCAGGTGAGGGTTCCAAGAACACATAAGTTGAACATAGCACAGCACACAGTGTGAAGTTGGCAACTCATCTTCAAAATCAGTTCGAAATCACTTTCTCTTCTTTGGAGAAATGATGCCATGAATCCAAATGAACATGCCATAAACGCAAGGTGCATGGCCATTGGTTTATTTGAGCAATGCGATATGCATGGTTAACATGGCCTCAGCTGGATGCCACGACATTGAAAGTACGCTGCGTGCTTAAAGAAAAAAAAAAAAAGGTGTGCTCAAGGTTAAGGTATGCATGGGTGAACGGACGTAGCTTCTTGCATCCTTGTCATTTTTTTCACTTTTTGCAACGTTCAGCGTGCTCGCTGGTACGAAAGAAAAGCACACCAAGAGCGCGGCGAATCCCCGTAACTCCGCTGCTACTTGATGAATTGTTAAAATTTCTAGGACGTCTATTTGAGAGGCAATTAATTTCTTTAATTAATTCATATAACAATGATCTGGAAAAGTATTGCAAATTAGACAACAGCAAACTGCTCAGTGTTATTGGAAAGCCGTGCCTGTGTCACCCTGACTCCCATATTCAGAAACACTCTTTGACTTGACTTGGTGCTGTCTTTAACACCGCACAAACCTGTTTCGAGTGTACCGTTTTCAGGAGGTGCCAAGGAAGCACAAATGCGTTTAAAATGCGCTGCCTTGAGGCATTGGCAAGTCAAGGTGAAAGTCAAGGAGCGTTTCTCAATACAGGAGTGAGTGTCCTTCGCCCATACCCCTAGAGTGAGCAGTAGATGTCAGCATCAGCTGCTGGTTAGTGAACAGGAGAAAATGGCGATGGGCACATCATACGGCATACGGCTGCTTACACCCAACTTCTAAAGTGTTTCAACTAATTTTTTTTTTTTTTCACACAGCGTAGCATGAAGGCAAATTATGCTGTGTGTCTTTGAGAATCATTTTTAAACACAATTGATGCACTCAAAGTCAGAATTCCCATTCACGGATGGTGTTTTTTCCATTTTTAACATCGAAATTTTCTGCTGGCAGAGACTGTTCAAAAACGAAATTTTTGACACAATGTTTCTTTCTTGTCAGCTTGTGGAACCACGTGAAATAAGATTTTACTAATTAAACCTTCTTTTCTTGCAGACATGTTTGTTTAAAAGGTTAATGACTACCGTGTATAAAGGCACTTCTTTTAGAAATCCTGACATTGACGAGGCGTAATCTCTTGGTCTAAGCTGCACTTGTCATTGGTGGGTGTACCAATATTACCAATGATGAGCTGCGCTCATTCAGTCCGGTGTGCAACTTTCTCAATGTGAAAGGCGAGTTACTGTCTGCACTTAAGAACGGTTTCGATTTCCTTTTCCCGAGGGCTGTAGAATACTCCCGAAGTCTGGAAAAAACGTACTTTCGTGCTTTTGCCTTGAGATCATCCTGGCGAAGGAAACTTTAAAAAATGGCAGCATGATGTGGAGATATCTCCTCAAGAAAACCAGTTTTATGAAGTTGTTATCTCACAGCTGAGTTTAACACTGAGAGTAATAGAGTTTCAGAAACACGTCGAGGCGACAAAAAACGCTACGCAATGTTTTTCACAGAGGCAGTCCACAGGAGGGAACAATTCTGTTGGAAACAGTTGTTGGGCCCCTTTCAGAGTTTGAATTCACAGGAGCTTTTCCTATTCAAATACAACATTGCCAGCACCCACTGTACAGTTCCGATTATCGGTCGATTTGAGAGAAGAGATTTCGAGTGATCGAGATGCTGATGTATGAACTGGGAGTGAAGTGCAAAGGCATTTTTGCACCCCACTATCTATTGCCCCAGCCTATTTCACGGGTAATTCTACCTATGCTCCACACAGTGTTAAGCATTATGCCGCACGCATTTGAATAGCAATAGGGGGGATTGATGGGTTCTGCTCCCTACCCCACCAATTTTTCAATTTTACATGAGTACATGTACAGGTGCACATGAAAACATACTGATGAACATACATAAAGTATGGTTGAACACTCGGGATAAATATTTTGGGCTGTGCTGTTGGCCACACCAGGTGCGACCATGTCTGTAAGCCAGCAATGGCCATTTTGAGCATCTCTTGTAGTGACCTACTACTACCATAATGCAAAGCTTCAGCTCATATTTCAAACCGCTGTTTCCACTACATACAACTGCCTTTTCAAGAAACAAGTAGAGTTTGCAACAAATATTTTACTTAACACAAACAAACACAAAACACTGCTACATTGATTCACGCACCTCTGTATCCATAGGTAAAGTCCTCGATCAAAGTGCCTGCAAAGAAGATGAGATCAAAAACTGTGACAAGGTGTCTATAAAAATGAGATACATTCACATTGCCGAATGCAAACTGACTGAACTGCATTAAAAAATATGCAAATGGTAAATTGTAGTTGCTACGATTGCATTGTAGTGAACATGCAAAGAAAGCAAAGACCGAGTGAAGAAACATGCAACTCAATGATTTTGAACCTTGAGATTTTGATATAAAAAACAAAAATTAAATGCATGCTGCTGTGGTCGCTATAAAGGTAGTACGCGAGAGCATTGCAATTGAACTGACCACATTTAATGTACTGCCGCTGTGGTAGGCAAACACAAGAAATTGTGGCAGAATTTGCTTCGCAACGACTGTCAAAATCGATGTGGATAGTGGACAGGTAATGCCCCTTTATTGCCTACACCGATTGGCTTCTTCCTAGAGCGTACAAGCGGTCTTAACTGTTCCGGAAGAGCAGTTTCTCGAAGAAACGACCCACTCCTTTACACTTCACCTAGCCCCTCACTGACCTACTTTTCGCAAACAGTTGGGTTTTGACACTCTTTTCATTGGGTCTCAGCCTAGCACCACTCGGCACGCCTCTCAGTGGTTCCCCTTGCGCCGAGCTTCACCCTCGCTTCTCTTTTAACCCTTTCGCCCAGGCCTCTCTCGGCATGGGGTAGCCCCCCCCACGTCTGCCAAGCCTCACTCTCGCTGTGACTGGGTCGGCACTGGTGAAGGGTCAATCAAAAACAACTTCGTTCAAAAAAAAAAAATTAAAGCAGCTTTGCACTAGTGCTGCCAAGCCCAAAAAAAGCATGGAGTGGGTGACCTTCTTTGTTTCTCTTTATTTTTATCTTCATATCTTCTTTCTTCTAGGTTTTTCTTTTTCTCTGTTTATTTCTATTTCTTCCTCTGCTATTTCTCTTTCTTACCTTTCTTAATCTATGTTTTTCTTGTCTTTTTGCTTTTCTTTTCATTGCTTTTTGTTTATATGAATTTTTTTCCCTCTTTCTGTCTCGCTCTCTCTCTTTTTATCTCTTTTCTTTGTGTCTGTTATTGTCTACTCTGCCATTCTTCTCTGTCTTTCTAGCTTTATCTTTCTGTGTGTACTTTTTTTCTTGGCCATCAGATTTATCACAACTGACACTGGACAAAATGGCGCACACGTTCTCAGGGTGAAGCAGAATGCGAAGACGAGGACAATGAAGAAGAGAACAACGAGAGCGCATGCCCATTTATGACGACGGTAGCGTTCTGTCTACTTAGCACAGACCAACAGTTGGGTTAAACCACTGTTAAATATATGTCACGTTTCAATCTGCGAGTACTGTCCATATCATGCTCACGGTGTCATGAGGAGTTCTCAGCGATTCAACAGCATAACAGCAACACCGGGGCCCTTTCCTTTCTTCAACAAGTCGGGCAATACTATGCTGCAACCCACCTCCAGAGGTAGGAGCATAGGTGAATGCGGCTAACGCATTTTGGTGGTGGAGGGAGCAACATGCCCTCAAGGCCCGCCACCGCCGACCCTAGCCCATAGAGTATTCGGTACTTGAGGAAGAAGAGCACCGTGAGGCAGATCCCAAGCCCCAAGAGGCTGGGGTCATCCATCTCGGTCACAAGGTCGGGGTAGTATGCCAGGGCTGAGCTGCATGGCACCACACAAGAAAAAAGCACAACATACACCACTTTAGCCCTTAGGTCGGCAAAATAAAGTGGAACTCACTGAGACTCAAGAAATATATACTATTGCGCTTTTGGACTTACTCGGACCTGGACTCGCGAAAGTATTTCAGAGCCGTGCTCACTGCAACTCTCACTTACAAAAATTTCATTCACTCAGACTCACTTGGACTCAAACTCACCTGAATATTACTCACATGAACTCACTTGGACTCGCGGTTTTAAGTGAAGTCTGAGTGAGTCGACCTATGCTAAAGACAGAGCACGAAGAGTTATACATACACACATCACAAGCAGCTTTGGTATTAAGGCTTTAGATCTCTCATCAATTGACATAATTGACCATCAGTGGTGGTAGCGGTAGTGTGAACATAAGTGATTTGAAAAACCATCATCACCTGATAACATCACCGCATAGCATCATGTCATCACAGATTGCCAAAATCTGCGACATCATCATGATGCCACATAGGGCAATGTCATCACGAGACACCACTGTCCTGTCAAAAGCCAACGGATTGTGGAGGCAGTAAAAAAAGCAGGGTGAGGTGTAATTCTCGTGTTGTTGCTCTGTTTTCAAGATGAAGACCAACCAACTTGCTCAAATATTTGTTCTCATAAAGAGGTACAGAAAGCATGCAATGTGGACTCCCATTCCGAGAGCAGTGCTCGACCGCATTTGGTGCAGAGAGCTTTCAGACAGGGGCGGGGGAAGATCAATACATTTGCTGAGAAGAAAATACATCCAGGCCTGTGCAGAATGCATAGCACAGTCACAGCAAAAGCTGGAAGAGCGGCCTTTCAGAGCCTTTTTTAAGCACTCTTTGGGCAACTGCTACAAGCATACTATCAGCGCTACACGATAAATACTGATAATATTTGTGTAGTAGGCAGGCATTTAACATGTCATCCGTTGTGATTTTTTAGAGAAGCGTACTGCCCGCTACACACTTTCACAAAATTTTGCGCAATTTTTTCGTGCTGGGGCTGATGAAGATAAAGAATTATGCCTGAAGCTTTTGTAATGGGTTGGAGCATTCGACGACCCACTTGTTACACAATTTACATTGTTAGAGGCCTGGTTATTCTTTTGCTGTTCTACGAGCCTTTATTACTCATACTAACATGATTCCTTTCGCGACACCAAGCCTGCCTAAGGCCAGTTTGCAACGGAGTTCCAAGCACCGGCGTGGCTCTGTGCTAGAATGCTGGGCTGGCACACGAGGGACCCAGGTTCGAATCCTACCGTGTCTTTTGTGATTTTATTCACTCATTTTTTAAATTTCGTGCGATACTGGTCTTGGACACCGAAAGTGGCGGCGGACAACTACAACGCACGCGACCCTTATTGTGATCTCATAACAGCTTTCGCTGTAAAAAGAAGGAGGCAGCTTTCACCTATCAGTCATCTAAAGTGAATGCATAAAGCATCCGGCGAGTTTTTCAAGAAGACCGACAACCGATTTTTATGGTGCCTGTTATTATTAGTGAAAAGAAAAGCTTACCAAACAGAGCGTCTAATCTCGAAATGGTAACGTGAAAAAAAACTAGGAATTTACTATCTAAATTTTTCTATCTGCGGCAGCTGTGAAATCGTACAAGCAACACAAACACTCATGCCTCAATATATAAAGCACGGATAATATATAGAAGCACGGATAAATGAAATCTCGGTTATAATGAAGTAAATTAAATATAGTCTTGCAATGGATACAGGCCTAGCACTGTATATTACAAGATAGCACTGTATCTATTGCAAGCACTGTATCTATGCAGCCTTTATAACGAATCCTTTGATATAACCAACTTTTTCTCTTGTAAGACGCTACTTTGTTATAATGATGTTTGAGTGTACTGCAGATGGTAGGAGGCAAAAATGAGAGCGATTGGTGTTTGTGCACTGGGGTTTTCTGCGCGCATGTGCACTACGAGTGCATACAACGCAGCCCGACATGTTCCACTGATTGCCACGAAGGCAGCGCCACTCCTCTGCATCAGCCTCTATTACCTTGTGAGGAGCCCAGAATAGAGCAGGAATGGATAACAATGGTACAGACACTATAATTTTGAGCACTGATTACAGCATGCATAAGAGCATCAGACTGTGTACATGAAACAAAACGACTACATAGGGTGCATAATGCAGTATCAAGTCTTTTCGGCTAACATGCTCGTTTTTTGTGATCTTTAAGCAAAATTTAAAAACACTCATGCTCGCATCACAATCTGAGAGCCTCGATCTGGCAGCCTGAATGCCTTGAGGCAGTATGAGAGAGATTATTGGTCAGCTGCCATCTCGCAATAAGATGACGTTCTACGCGACGCCAAACAGACAAAAAAAGAGTAATGGCTACAGGTGGCACTGACCGATTCTCCTACGTTTAAATGCACTTATATGCCCTATAAAATGGACAGGGGAACGACCGCCACCTCTCGCTCGACAACCGTCTCGCTCGGTAGTAGAGCATCGGATGCATTGTTCGAAGGCCACAGGTTCGGTCCCTTCCAGCAGCAAGTGATCTTTTCGTCCACTTTCTTCAGATTTACGTTACAATTACTTCTAATAACATCTCCCATACTTTCCTTGGCATTATTGTCTGTTAGTTCTCAATAATATTGCAACGAAGATGCGCGAGCGTACGGGGTGCGGAAGAAGAAGAGTAGTGGAGCAGCGCTTGAACTGTGTGGTTGGGTGAACCGGACTAGGCCTGTCTAAGAAGTACGCTGCTCTTTCCCAACGCCATTTTACCTCATCTGTAAATAAAAACTATCACTCGTGACAATATTGTGTTTAACGAAAAAAAAAAAAACGAGCCCTTAAATTCACACTTTCTTTCAACAAACATGCTTGAATAGATCACTATAAACTCATTTTTTTTTTTCACTTCCACTAGGATCCAATGACAGATTTTGGCCACTTGTAGGTCCCTTTAACCACTTGCTGAATGCTCCATGAAGCAGGTATTTTGCACATTCCAGCACAATTTTTAGCAATACATTCAAGATGTGGCCAGAAAGAGTAGCATAGCTGGCAAGTTCTGAACCGCTGTACCAAGTTCGTGGGCTGATAGACATGATTAAAAATTGAAATTGCGGATTCTTGAATACATCCAATGCTATGTTGCTTGCAAGTTCATTATAATGAGATTTACCCACAAGATATAAGAAACTCTTAAAGTGTGCTTGCTGTGTGTGTACTCACCTGTAAAAATAGTGCAGAAGGAATTCTAGAAGAAAGTAGTAGAGCGTACACAGCCCAACCTGCGCAGCAGGATACATTATATCTTGCACTGACCAGGCTATCTTCTTTTTCGTGACCTAGGCAAAGACAACAAACTACTTCAAGTTAAACCATTCATGTATTAAGGCGGCTGCAAGAAACTGAAGCCGGGCTATCCTCTGTTTCATGTATCAAGTGTAACACTGTACAAGCTATGCGAGAAGTTCCGTCAGTGAAATGTGTAAGTGCGGGCATTCACAATCAGATTTCGCCTTTGTAAACATGGTCTCCGCAATCGGCTCTAGTCTTGCAATAAGATCAGTCGTTTGACCCGATGCCAAGTCTACCAGCTAGCTGGAAACACTGTTGGTTGTTGTCAATCGACATGTGGATAGGCAAGCAGATAGTGACATGTCCTGTGCTTAGGCACATGAAAGTGATCGATCACTAATATTAGCAACACTATTTCGGAAACGAGGCTTCGTGCGTTTTATGCCCAGCCAGTGTTGCTTCTAGTTTTGCAATTTCCTTCATCTTAAAACTGAACTTACCTTGAAATTTGTTAGGATCATTACAGTTTCAAGTTCACTATACCTTTACTAAAAGTACACATTAACCAAATGCCCGTAATAGCAAGAATGTATCTTTTTTATCGATGTTGTACAGGCGTTCATTATATAGAAAAGCTACGTTAGTATTCTGTGCAAGTTGCAGTATTCACATGATACAAGGGTGCAACAGCAGCGCTAATACACTCACACCTCACTATAATAAAGTTGCATCTTACACAAAAATAAGTTCGTTATATCCGAAAATTTGTTATAAAGGGTATGTTCATAGCACTGTATCTATTGCAAGAGTACTTCTCATTACTTCATTATAACCGATATTTCGAGGTTTGAGTTTAGTGCCAATTTGCCTGGCTAGCACCAAATATCCACAGTTGCAATAAATTAGATGAGAAATGGAGGCAGCCTCGGCCAGCTGTGGTTAGAGCATTATCATCTGATCCAATCCAAAAGCGCAGACCTTAACCTCATCGCGAAAGAAAAGAAAAAATGACAGCAGTTATAAAATATCCTGGCCTTATTTAATTGCACACAGAGCACTTTTTAAGCCACTTTCGCTGCATCACACCAGTGCCTTGCGGCAAAATGTACTAATATATAGAAGGGGGCTATCCGTACTAGCTGTCACGGGACACTACACACTTTTGTTTCTTAATTACTCATGCATGCACACTTCGAGTAATTACGGTTTATCACGTCTAAAAAATTACTTGCAATCATTCAGAGCTGTGAATAACTTTTGCACAGTCCTGAGAAACACACAAAAACAAACATGAATAACTTTTTTTTTTTGGCACCCCACTGAATCCTGCTTTATGAATCTTTGAGGTCGCAAGGCTGGCACATCCGTAATAGCATTTGCAGCGCCTGTAAAGTCATTGAATGGCTCTGCGAATGCTAAAGTCGAATTCCGCGTTGTTTACACAGTGGGGTGGGTTTAATACATGAAGTTCCTAAAGTTAACTACAGGGCACTCTGGTCCTTCAGGGACCATGTGAATGATGGGTAGTGCACGAACTTGCCTAGTCTTCAAACTTGCGGGCCTCGAACGCACATGTGGCTTTGTTTATTGCTGTGTTTTGGTGTTGTATCGAATGAAAGGAAGGACTGTTATACCCGTGCCACACGGGCAGAAAAAATGGCATTTACCCCCGAATGCCTTCAGATTTATTGCCATTTGCGCGGTGCCACACGGGCGAACAAAATGGCATTCATCCGAATGCCATTCGAATGCCATTCGCCACCAACTGCCTTCGCCAGAACTCAGTTGACTGAGAAATGCCTACTCTCGACGACACAGCTCGCGAAGTGCGATTTACCTGAAAGTATATAAAACAAATCATATTGAGCTAAAAATAAAATTTCCCGTCTTTTATTTGCACTAAAGTCTTCAAAAGATGCTTTGAACGTTATACGAAAAAAATAAAGTATTGATAATGAAACGCTTGTCAATTTTAGTGTCTATTTACGCTGTGGATCTGACTGGTGTTGGCTTAGGTTGCTACGGTCGGCTGCAACGTTGTAAAACAAAGCAAGAAACTAAAACTTAGGACAGCGTAACCTGCGCAGCAGGATACATTATATCTTGCACTGACCAGGCTATCTTCTTTTTCGTGACCTAGGCAAAGACAACAAACTACTTCAAGTTAAACCATTCATGTATTAAGGCGGCTGCAAGAAACTGAAGCCGGGCTATCCTCTGTTTCATGTATCAAGTGTAACACTGTACAAGCTATGCGAGAAGTTCCGTCAGTGAAATGTGTAAGTGCGGGCATTCACAATCAGATTTCGCCTTTGTAAACATGGTCTCCGCAATCGGCTCTAGTCTTGCAATAAGATCAGTCGTTTGACCCGATGCCAAGTCTACCAGCTAGCTGGAAACACTGTTGGTTGTTGTCAATCGACATGTGGATAGGCAAGCAGATAGTGACATGTCCTGTGCTTAGGCACATGAAAGTGATCGATCACTAATATTAGCAACACTATTTTGGAAACGAGGCTTTGTGCGTTTTATGCCCAGCCAGTGTTGCTTCTAGTTTTGCAATTTCCTTCATCTTAAAACTGAACTTACCTTGAAATTTGTTAGGATCATTACAGTTTCAAGTTCACTATACCTTTACTAAAAGTACACATTAACCAAATGCCCGTAATAGCAAGAATGTATCTTTTTTATCGATGTTGTACAGGCGTTCATTATATAGAAAAGCTACGTTAGTATTCTGTGCAAGTTGCAGTATTCACATGATACAAGGGTGCAACAGCAGCGCTAATACACTCACACCTCACTATAATAAAGTTGCATCTTACACAAAAATAAGTTCGTTATATCCGAAAATTTGTTATAAAGGTATGTTCATAGCACTGTATCTATTGCAAGAGTACTTCTCATTACTTCATTATAACCGATATTTCGAGGTTTGAGTTTAGTGCCAATTTGCCTGGCTAGCACCAAATGTCCACAGTTGCAATAAATTAGATGAGAAATGGAGGCAGCCTCGGCCAGCTGTGGTTAAAGCATTATCATCTGATCCAATCCAAAAGCGCAGACCTTAACCTCATCGCGAAAGAAAAGAAAAAATGACAGCAGTTATAAAATATCCTGGCCTTATTTAATTGCACACAGAGCACTTTTTAAGCCACTTTCGCTGCATCACACCAGTGCCTTGCGGCAAAATGTACTAATATATAGAAGGGGCTATCCGTACTAGCTGTCACGGGACACTACACACTTTTGTTTCTTAATTACTCATGCATGCACACTTCGAGTAATTACGGTTTATCACGTCTAAAAAATTACTTGCAATCATTCAGAGCTGTGAATAACTTTTGCACAGTCCTGAGAAACACACAAAAACAAACATGAATAACTTTTTTTTTTTTGGCACCCCACTGAATCCTGCTTTATGAATCTTTGAGGTCGCAAGGCTGGCACATCCGTAATAGCATTTGCAGCGCCTGTAAAGTCATTTGAATGGCTCTGCGAATGCTAAAGTCGAATTCCGCGTTGTTTACACAGTGGGGTGGTTTAATACATGAAGTTTCCTAAAGTTAACTACAGGGCACTCTGGTCCTTCAGGGACCATGTGAATGATGGGTAGTGCACGAACTTGCCTAGTCTTCAAACTTGCGGGCCTCGAACGCACATGTGGCTTGTTTATTGCTGTGTTTTGGTGTTGTATCGAATGAAAGGAAGGACTGTTATACCCGTGCCACACGGGCAGAAAAAATGGCATTTACCCCCGAATGCCTTCAGATTTATTGCCATTTGCGCGGTGCCACACGGGCGAACAAAATGGCATTCATCCGAATGCCATTCGAATGCCATTCGCCACCAACTGCCTTCGCCAGAACTCAGTTGACTGAGAAATGCCTACTCTCGACGACACAGCTCGCGAAGTGCGATTTACCTGAAAGTATATAAAACAAATCATATTGAGCTAAAAATAAAATTTCCCGTCTTTTATTTGCACTAAAGTCTTCAAAAGATGCTTTGAACGTTATACGAAAAAAATAAAGTATTGATAATGAAACGCTTGTCAATTTTAGTGTCTATTTACGCTGTGGATCTGACTGGTGTTGGCTTAGGTTGCTACGGTCGGCTGCAACGTTGTAAAACAAAGCAAGAAACTAAAACTTAGGACAGCGTAATACGCTTATTTCTACATTTGATGATTATCTGATGTGTATGAAGCTTGTAAATGCTTCTTAATTTTTTTATTGCTATTCACTGAATGGTCACTTGGAAGGTGCTGTGATCGACATCATCAAGTCAAATGTCATTCGCTTTGGACGTGTAGCAGCGCCGGCGAAACGAATGTCATTCGGGATCTGAAGGCCTTCGCCACCAAATGTCATTTTCTATGCCCGTGTGGCACGGGTATTATAAACTTCGTAACCCGATTTCAAATGGTGAGCCTAAAAGGTTAAAGTAGTGAAGCGTCTCTGCTGAATATTTGCCGCCTGTCGTTTCGTGACAAAGCAACTCCAAGTCATGCAAAGCCTATTGCAGCTAAAAGTACCCAAATTAGACAAATCCGTGCACTACCCATTATTGCCATGCTCACTGAAGTGGCGTGTGTTGCAGCTCTCATAGACAGTAGTGCCCGAGTTCCCTCTAGTGTATTTATAGATATTATGTTTCAATACAGTGCTTTTATTGAAACTGCAGTGCTCATGTGCACAGTGTATGCTGAATTGTTTGTATATCCTCTTCAGTCCCAGGTACTCCATTTGGGGCCATTCGTTCAAAGACGCATAACTAATTTTGAAGGAAATGTTTTTTACCTTTAACTTGAATTCAACACGTGGAGAGCATCACCTTGTGTAAACTCAATGAGATGGCACTCCATGTCATGCATTAGTGAGGCATGATGGCCTAGACAATAGTGTTGCCCAGCCCAGCAAATGTGTACTACTTCGTCCTCATGGTGAGTAATTAGGTTTTTTTAAGGTTTTAATATTGTTTTTTCCCCATGTGTGACAGCACTGCTGAAAAGTCACCAATGAAGTTGTAATCAATTTTTATGTATAATCTGTGCCGTAAATTGTGGTCTGCTACTCGAAAGCCAGCCATTCGCAAGTCAGGTGCCAGCCACAGTGTCCAACAGACAACGTAAAGGAGAAGGAAGCAACGAAGAAAATGAAAGTAAAGAAAGGCCGACAGGGGCAAAAAATCACCCTGTTTTGCCCTGACAATACAAGATATGTCATGCCAGAACACCATACCACCAAGTTCAAGGATTCTGAATCCAGGAGTTTTCCGCAACGAGAAGGGGTGAGTGGACGGGGGGGTGTTGACGCGCAAAATTATTTTTTGCTATTTTTGGCACCAAAACAAAACAAAAGATACATCACGCTAAAAAAAATATGCCAGGCCTGCGTGGAAGGTGCAGCATAGTTACAGCAAAAGCTAGAAGAGCGGCTTTTCAGTGCCTTTTCTAAACACTCATTGGGTAACTGCTGCAAGCACGCTTGTTAGATACTCACTACGGCATTAATAATAAAAATTTTAGCGTAGTGGCCGGCATTCGCTATGCTATTTTTCGTCAATCTTCTGGAAAGCATGGTATCCGCTAAACTATTGTGGGGAATTTTGTGCCATTTGTTCATCCAGTGGCTAACGACGATGAGAAATTGTGCCTGAAGTGGGTATGCACCACAGTTAATAGGGGAACAAGAACAAGCTTTTGTATTGAGCTGGAGAATGGGACTATCCGCTCGCTACGCTAAATTACATTGTGTGACGACTGGTTGTTCTTTCGCTGTTTTAAAACGCTTTATAAGTCGTAATAACGAGATTGCTTTCCTGACATCAAGCCTGCCTAAGGCAAGTTTACCAACAAGTCTCAAGCGCCGGCGTGGCTCAGTGGTGGAATACTGGGCTGGCACCCAGCGGACCCGGGTTCGAGCCCCACTGTGTCATTGGTACTAGGGAGGGGGGCGGTAGGATCCCAATTGCAAGCGCCAAAATCGATGTTGGGGTGTTATGATGGCTTGGAATGGCTGAACACACGAGGTAGGTTTCCCACTAAGGTGAGTCTCTCAGAAGGGAAGCACAAGTACTCCTGAAATTTGGCGTCATCAAAACAACTAGCAAAACCTATTTTCGTCAAAACGACTCTTAGGTGTCTTCCTGGAACACACGTGAACGGACAGGACCGGTGCACCTGGCCGCTGCGAAAGCGCGGGTCAAAGCTTTGGCTTTGCTCGCTACTAGAGTCTTTGGACAGGAATGCCAAAATGCTTTGAGTCTTTTTTTTTTCCTTGCATCTTTACTGTCTTTAATCTACCGCTGTGTTAGGCACGTGCCCTCAGAGCTTGTAGATCACTATTGCGTTGTGGCGTTTCTGTGCGCGTTGGTTGCGGCAAACTGTAGTTTTGTTTTCAATCCGCGTGCGTTGGCTGCACACCTGCCTTGAAAACTAAGTCATTTTATGCTATCTATCATCGCATCTACTGAGGTATTGTCCCCAAGCTTGCAGAGAGCAGCACTGCTTTGACTGGTCGAGAGTTGTACGCGCGCACACTTTCGAAGTTCTGTCAGTAACGTCGTCGCCATACATGATAGTGTCAAGAACGACCGCGGTTTCGTCTGCAGCGGTTGTGGCAACAACCACATGCACTGCAGAAGACAGTGCATGCGCTGGTCGCATGCACAATTCTGAGGCTTTGAGCACACTGCTCTTGATCAGCCTGCATACGACGGTTTTCGTACTAAGTTAATATCACATGCCGCGATTTGGAAAAGTGTTTGGAGCACTCAAATTTCGACGAAATGGACACAGTGAAATGGGGCTGAGAAATTCGGCGAATTCATATCTGCCGCGGTTTCGCATGACTGAGACCAAATACTGTACGTTGAGATGAACGCCTGCTAAATTCCTTGATAATAAAATGCGGTGGGTTCACAAAAAGCCTCGAGTGAACTGACCTGCATTTTTCTCAACACGGCTCGATCACGCACAGTAATTTCTATTTCTGGGAGACTTTCATGACAACCGTACAAATGGAAGACACGGTAAACATTCGGGAGTGTCCCGGATAATCCGGGAGACTTGGGAAGTTTACAGAACACCTTCCTGAACATCGAAAGATTGGATGAAGTAAAATATGCAGAAAAGCTGAGTGTGGGTGATAAACCTGAAGTGACTTCCTCAAAACATGGCTTTTTTTTGCCTCCAGAACACAAAACTCCTTTGTGAACTTCCATACCTGCTGAGGCTTAAAGGCCTTCTTTGGGGACTGGATAATTTCGCAAGTTGTCTTCGTAGTTGATTTGAAATAAATTTCTTTCTCATTTTCTTGTTTACTGAAGACCAAAATAAAGAATTATGAAAATAAATTGACTTTAAAGTTTTTTTTCCTGGGGCTAAGGAGGACATACTGTATTTTTTTTTAAAACAACGAATTTTTCTTTACTGCTACAAACTTGGAATTTTGTGATACAAATAACAAGTTATTTCTTTCCTCTGTAACTTGTTCCAAAAGTAACATTTCCCTGCTTCGAAAATTGCTCCAAATCCTAGCTCAGCTGTTGTGCCCCTGCACATGTGATTTACCTGCATTCTTCTGTCCAAAACCGGCCTCGTAATATGTACACTCATAATAGTAAACGGAGCCATTAAAGCAAAGACAAGCAGCATGCTAAGTACCAACTACTGAAGTACATTTCGGTGACTCCAATATCTGAACAGCACTTAACAACTGCTGCGGCGTACCTGCGCGAGAAAGTCCGAGTAATTCTGCAGAGGTCCAGTAAACAGAGCTGGCAAGTAGAAAACATACGCCAGTGTTGTGCCAATATCAGGACTGCCCTTGTCGACAGGTCTTGCAGTCGAGTCCACGGCAAAGCTCAGGCATCGGGCTGCCGTCCACGAAAGTCCGACTTGGGTGAGGAATGTCTCCACACTGCCGTGGTAAAGATAAATAGGCTGCAAGGAGAGATGAGAAAAAGCATCTCCTGTGCCTCTTTTGCAATTGAGAAAGTGCCAACAGCAAGGTGCTGGCTGATACCTTTCATCTTTACATGAAATGCTATACATTTCAATCTCACTTCTTTGGTCACTTCAGAAGGTGCAAAACTTTTAAATGTAAGAACGAGACAGAGCAATACGAGTAATTTATCGTGTAACATTATTTTAATGGGCAAGCAAATGCTTCCCTGTGCTGTTACAGCATGCAAAGTACAGGAAATATCAGGTATACTCTGCAAGCAACTTAAGCATCAAAGCAAGCAAGTACAAGAACTATCTTTCCTAATGTTCATTGTTGCCAAGTACTAACGTATTATGTACAAGGAGACGTAGTAGTTACTACAATTTTTAAATACGTGTGAGGGGCCTCTTAGGGAGCAGATACAAAAACACGCAATTTTGAATTTGCAGTACCAATGTTTCTAGATATCAGTATCAAGTGGAAACAGTCAACTGAGGCCGTACAAGGTAACGTGACAAGGTAACACCAGGGCCCTCACTACTTTTATACTAGTCATGAAATCCTTGCATAATACTATGGAATAGCTTCATATCACAGTGTTGGGTATATATAAGGTAATGCTATAGCATACACTACAGATTCTACAATAAACACAAGTGTTAGAAAGTGGACGCTCTCAGCATCCACTAGTCCACAAAACAAGGACAATGGCTGCTACTGTTGGGAGGGTAATTTTAGCAAAGTGTCGGTGCAGTTTGTTGATGTGTGCACCTCATATTTACGTCACCTCCATTTGTCTCAACATGTGTTGACCTGATGTTCTTCAATTCACCCTAGCAGCGACGCACAACACTTGCTGCATGCCAGGCTGCAGTTTCGGGTATAAGAAATCTGCTTATCCTAATGACCAAATGATGCTGGACTGCGAGACGGGTGGGACAGAGCCATCGCACAACAAGAAACTGGTAGATTTTTATCCGGAAAGATGGGCGTCCACGCGTGCAGGAGATATTTTGATGCCGCAGACATTATGGGAACGTCAACCCCGAACTGAGCTTTGCTGTGACAATAAATAAACAAAGAAATATACAGCATCGGGTGTACAAACTGACTAATGTTTTAAAATTTGTATACCAATGTAATACATACAGCGAATCTAATGGAACTGAAGGCGAACAACATACCTTCAGGAATGTCAGCACAGGAAACGCTGAATGGATGATGACGGCAAGACCGAGAAGGTAGCACAGCGATGTACTCCTGTACATTGCAGAAACGTAGAAGGCAGCATACAGAGAATAGAAGGACGCAGTTGTCACCCACCCAACATTGCAGAGCAGGAAAAAAGTGCTGTACACCACGTAAAAGCTGGGAAGCCACTGTATTTGGGAGCAACAAGCAAACCAAGACACAAATTATACATTTAAAGCACAGGTGTTGAAGTATATTGAAAACAAAGCTTAAGTAAAGTGATCCTCTATTGTACAGTGCTCAAGGATTGAAACGTGATAACTCAGAGCTAAGTATTAGCACGTACTTGTGTTCCCAGCATCCTGAGTACGTGTGACATAAGCATAATTTTGGCTCGGACGCTTGCATTGAAGACAACATGGCCTATAATGCTCAGACTCGCAGCGACATGACATGGTCCTGTCAAAACATGGCATAACAGTCAGTTCAAGCGCACGAATAAACAGAAAGGAAGAAAGGACAAGCACTTTCTCGCAACTAAACGATTCGTGCGCTTGAACTGACAGTTATACCATGCATATCCAACTAACCCAACTTTCGATTCTATTGCCTGTCAAAACAGTTTTGCGTGCGAGTCACTGCAGTAAGTCTTTTGATCACAAGTTTCAATTTGTGAGCAATGCACGCGTACGAAACAGAAGCGATTTCTGGAGGGGTGACTGATTTTTACCATACACAAGCATTTGAAGCCAACAAATCAACGTAATCAACATATGTTGAAAAAAATAGATGACAATGTTTAGTTTTTGATGAAATTGGGGTAATTAGAATGTAAATAAAAATGAAATTGTGCAAAAAAAAATTACCAGCCGAATCCCCGTCCATGCCATCATAGGGATTTTGAACATCAATGATTTATTTTGTAGTGTGTATGGGTGAAAGCCTGTTCTTGGCGTTTTCTTGTTAAACGTACATGGTTACAATAATGTAGACTTTCTTATTCCATTTGTGGTCGTCACTGCAATCGAACCCAATTATGAAAGAAAAATATTACTTGAATTTAAATTTTAATGCGTATTGCACTAAACCGATGTTCTCGCGCTAACCTTATGCTGACGGGGCATGGCAGTTCACATAAGAAATGAAGACGACAAAGAGGAAGAAACAAACATAAGCACAAATGCTCGCATTCAATCTTTTATTTTATTCTTAATATTTATTTATACTTACCTCTTAATTAATGAATGTTTAAATATTATTAATTTCATAATTTTCTTCAAAATTTGGGCAATCCACCAGTGTGGGCATGAGCCATAGTTTTTAGGGCCTACTGTGCTCTACTATTCAACCTGTTCAAAATGGTTCTCTACAAGTCTGTTGGCTGATCGCTCTTTCTGGCAATCAACCGACTTGTAGACCTTCAGACAAACTTGTTGACTTCAAACTGAAACCAAACATGTTAACGCAACAACCATGTCAATGAGGAGGCTGCTTAAAGTGGCTGCTGGAAGAGAAACACAATCCCAGGTGAGGAAATCTCTTTTTTTTTTTTAGCTAATTAAGGAAGTCGAGAAGGAAGCATGTGTGCTGCCACCTTGCAATTCCTCACAGAGAGCGTTTTCCTCACTAAAATAAGTTTTTCCCGTGCGATATAAACAAATAGGACAAAACAAAACAAGTACTCGCTGTCCACTTTAAGCTGCAAAACTATACATCATGCTTCTAATGGTTACGCTAATAGTGCCTCGTGTTGGAAATGCACATTGTTATCATTAATTAATAACATCCACGTGCAAATTCAGTTTACTTTGTGAAGTTTGGCGAAAAGGCAGTGGCTGATGAGTGGCTGCACCAAAATCCACGGCCAAAACCTGCGGATGGCAGTGCTGTAGCGATACCATTCCTCGTCAGCGGTGTCCTGAAAGTCCAATTAGAGCGAAAATAAAGCAATAAGTGAATGACAATAATTAGCGCAATAAGAATGCTCGAGAGAAATTAAACAAGCATATCCGGTACCTTGTCCCGAGAGATACCGTAAGAACCGTCGACAAACTCATCCGGAACAACTTCGGGCAATGTGTAATCTAAGAGAAATCAGGAAAGACACGCAGCATCGATTTACTAAATCGAATGGCGCACGCTCGCATATGGATGGAAGAAATTCGAGAACGAAATGAGTCAAGCGTAAGGCCACGAATCGTAACACCAATCGTAGCCGTAGTCGAGAAACTCACTTGTTTTGCACGTCACGAAGCATCCGAGAACGTAAACCAATCCGGACGTCCAGATCACCCAATGAAACACTCTCGCCAAACTTTCCCATTTCTTCAAGATGGTTAGGAACCTGGAAAGAAGAAATGCAATGTAGTGGGACGCGCAAACAACACCTTAGGGCAGTCATCTATGATAACGGGAGACGCGGGAAACATTCAGACGTACAAACACATGCGTCGGCGCCCGTGAAAATAATTGTAGCAAGCAAATGCGGGCGGAAACATCACTAGCGAGCGTTAAATGTCACTTAAATCACTGGCACGTTTGATGTGAGATTGAGGGCTTACCCATTTTGAACGACTGCGGCCGTTTGCGCCTTCGGCTCTGCCACAGCGTTGTGAGATTCGCTCATCACAAACATATCACCACGGCTTTAACAATTCAAGCGAGCACGCCGGTAGATTTAGCTAGGCCTCGCCTTATTTGCATCGGCACCGGTGTTTCAACGTGTACTGATGGTAGATAGGGTCACCTCGTCTTGCTCGAAATGCGAAAGTGCGGCGAGAAATTGCGCAGGAGACAAACTGCACGCATGTCGCGTAGAGCGATCGGGCCCTTCAGCGATGCTCCGAAGTGACAATAGCAGCTCGGCAGCTAGCATCGGCGCCAACGACAAGCTTTACTCCCGTATTTGCGCCGCACAAAACGCTCCCGCGAGACTGAGCAGCGCTAAATACGCGTGTTGACAGCTACGAAAGCCAGACGGCTGCGGCGTTACGCCCGACACTGCCTCAATTGTTGCTGTAGCATTACGCGAAACATCAGACTGCAGAAATGTGAGCTGGAGCACGCTTGAGCAGACGCCTAGCGACAACACAAGACCACCTAGGGTCGTTTAGAAAAAATACTTCTTGTAGTTCATAAAAATTCAAATAATATAAAATTCGTAAACTATTAGGTAACAATTGACCGTAAAATTTAAAAATTTTTATACTAAATTACGTACAGTATGATAAAAAATTTCTATTTACAAGGTTGAAGTTAACACGCAAAAAGGCGCGTAATTTGAACTTGCCTGAATAACGATGTGTCAACCTACGTCTTAAAAGTTTATAAGTTTATTACCGATTGGCGGAGCAACACAGGTATATCCCGCTAGTGCAGTGGCCAAACGGGTTGCTCACCAGGCAGCTCCCACTGAAACCATTTGTTCTAGAAAAGTGTGATACCTTGACAAAATTTTCCTTACGTAACGCGCTGTTCAGCAGTGATCTGCCACTTATAAGCTTGGCTATAAGTTATAAGCTTGGCTATAAGTTATAAGCTTGGCTATAAGTTATAAGCTTGGCTATAAGTTATAAGCTTGGCTATAAGTTATAAGCTTGGCTATAAGCTATAAGTATATAGCATCGGTTCTCCGTAGACAGTGTTGCTGGTAAACGTAACTGCCACTTTCGCACTTTGTGCTTTTGCAATGGTACGCTGCCGCTTTAAAGGTAAACATCTTTGACGGAAATCTGCTTGGCTGGCTAAAATTAAAATAAAATAGGTCTCTAGCAACGTTTAATCCTTAGTTTTTAATTAAAAAAACAGGCCCTACGTTTTGAGACCCGTTTGGTCTCTTCTTATAGGGTGGCCAGTTGGCTAAAAAACCTAGCGTTAACTTAGCGTGCGTGCGTGCGTGCGTGTGTGTGTGTGTGTGTGTGTGTGTTATTGATGTCTTTCCTCATTCGTATTATACATAGCAGTCAGAAGCTTAAGTCAAGTAATCTTCCATTTGCAGGTAAAACGCCCTCAGGCTCTTACCACATGGCCCTTGTACCCAGGCGAAGACGGCTGAACCATTAGTGACGATTTTCGCCGGCACCATCAGAATGTATGGCCACGAACATCCCACGGCAGCGAATGAAATTTAGCCGGCTTTGCGTTTTCACGCGTTTCGCACTTCATTTTTAGCGATTACTGCACCCAAGTACTGCCATCAAATGGAGGGTGCTGCAAAAAAAAAAAAAAAAAAAAAAAAACTTGCTCAACCTAATATCACGCAATGGCATACACTGCCAATGGCATGGCCGAACGTAGTCACCCGAAGCAGTGCCTTCCCGGCATGCTGTGTGGGCATGGTGCACTAGCAGGGGTACCGCAGCGCGGGATTGCTATTTGGCAGGGGCGGTAGCCAGGGAATGGCTCACCGGGCACGCCCCCCCCCCCCCCCCCCTCGAAATTTTTTCGCCATAGCATAGACAACAAAAAAATTGGCATTTTAAGGGAGTGCCCTTTCCGAAATCAAAATGGTGCCCCCCCCCCCCCCCACCCCCCACATCCGAAAAACATTTCTGGCTACGCGCCTTCTATCGGGTGAACAGACGCTTTAATTTAGCGCGCTCCGAGTCCGAACTATCGAATGCATGAACGTGCGCAGCGTTCCCCTTCAGGGGGGTAGGGGGTGAAGATATAGTCACTGTATATGCTCTATACGCTACCGAAAGGTAGCATATACAGTATCTCTAGGCGAAGGTTCATTGCAGCGCCCCCGAACTATTATGCCAATGTATTAAACTGATCTCGCCCTCCCCCACCCCCTCGAGTCACAGTACTGCCCTTCCTTCTTATGTCTATGCATGGGTAGGGCTTTGCGCTCCTTCTTAGGTGATTAAGGGGGGCGCCCCCCCCCCCCCTTCCTGCCCCCCTCGTGCGCACGCATATAGGCTCGAATGCACTTTTGTGCGACGCTTCCGCTGACTGCTTTGAAGGGCACTAAAGTGTTACATGGTGAATGTTACGTTGCTTCCGCTGTAGGAAAGAGTATACGCGCTTCATCAAAGCAGAGAGCCGGAGTTGGGTCAATCTTCCGGAAGCCGTATCGGGCGCGAGCACTCGTGCACCGTCCCAGGGTTGGAGCACGTTGGTAGAGCGCGTTCTGTAATGACGCACTGGAAATCGCTTTATAACCGTTAAGTTTAGAAGAGCTCAGTGCGCGGGATAGAGCGTGCTCTAGTTATACTTAACCGACACCACCTGCCGTGACTGGGCGAACGCTTGATACGCACTTTCCCTTGTTCCGTCATCGCGCTTGTTATCCGATATGAAACAGCTGTCGTCGTCTCACGATGCCATAGCTATAGATATAATCAAATTAATTATTCACGATAGCTCCACCCACAAAAAAGCCGCTAATCACCCACTATACTGGTGCCTTTTGCTATTTAGAAGTTTCCGAGTGCCGCCGATGCTGCAAGTACTCCCCCGCCATGACGTCACAGAAACGAGCAAGCGTAACTAAATGGCGCATTATCTCGGGTCCCTTTGACTTGGAAAGCATGTGTCTGCCTGCCCCGCCGCGGTGGTCTAGTGGCTGACGTACTCGACTGCTTACCCGCAGGTCGCGGGATCGAATCCCGGCTTCGGCGGCTGCATTTCCGATGGAGGCGGAAATGTTGTATATATGGGCCCGTGATGTGCTCAGGTTTGGGTGCACGTTAAAGAACCCCAGGTGGTCGAAAATTTCCGGAGCCCTCCACTATGGCGTCTCTCATAATCATATGGTGGTTTTGGGACGTTAAACCCCACACATCAATCAATCATGTGTCTGCCTTTGAATCATTTCTTTTAAGTTGTGACTTACAGCACCTTGCGAGAGATGTAAATTAGCATATACTTATCGCAATAGCGATCCCGCTTGGAGGGGATACCTTTTAAAATTTTCTGTTTGGTTGCGTACAGATCCTGGGAGAACGGAAAAAGAGAGTCAGGCTAATTCTTGCTTGTTCGACACCGTTCGCTAAATGTCAATTGCGGAGTCATAACGATGAAACTTAGTTAACGAATGAATCTACTACCAGGCCCCGCCGCGGTGGTCTAGTGGTAAGGTACTCGGCTACTGATCCGCAGGTCGCGGGTTCGAATCCCGGCTGCGGCGGCTGCATTTCCGATGGAGGCGGAAATGTTGTAGGCCCGTGTGCTCAGATTTGGGTGCACGTTATAAAACCCCAGGTGGTCTAAATTTCCGGAGCCCTCCACTACGGCGTCTCTCATAATCATATGGTGGTTTGGGGACGTTAAACCCTACATATCAATCAATCTACTACCAGCTACATTTTATTATCAACCCTCGCCCTCCCCCATCTGCGCATGCACCTGTGGCCAACGTCTAATCATTCATTGCATCGTTGCGATAGTAAACACACACTGAAATTCGGTGAGTGTGATACAAGCACCAAGAAAGGCGTCTGATATTAAAAGCAGATACTGAGTACATTAGTTCTAATGGGAGTATACGGGAGTCAGCTTTGTTGATCATGGCAAACAAGGGGTGAATCGCGATAACGGGGCACGTAGAAAAAAAAAAACGTCTTCAGGCGCAGGAGTGCGTGCAGCTGAATGTAACGTATGAAAGAAGGGCCGCTGGCAGCGCGTCCCGTCACATTGCGTCGATCGAGTGCACGTGCGGATACATCTCTGGCAGCTGTTTCAAGCCTTTCTCAAGTAAGTGCCCTTCGCCGTGTGTATGAAGCCACCGCAGTTTAGTTGTTTCATTTAAGTTGTGCTTGCGTGCTGTCGACTTCTATTATGCGTTATCCCAATTCCACAGGTCAATCCCATGGTGTTAAGTGTGGTGAAGCCTAAACAATGAAGGGATCGTCGAACTACCCCGTGTTTCAACGAGGAAGCTTCTAGCTTCGGCAACTCTTTGAGGTGATACCACACACTTGTGCCGTGGCACAGCCTTTAACTTTCTTTAGTTGCAGAATTGGTTTATTGTAAACCTAATCGGACATAAGGGCGTAATTGTTGCATTCCGTTTGGTACGACGTGCCGCGGCCACATCATGTCGTTTCCATGACGGAAGCGGGGAGGACTGGTTGGGATGTTGAGACGGAGCTAACACTGAAGAGATAGCGAGCGTTGGGCAGGCAACAGCTAACAGAGGTCTTTTGCCGCTTGCGACAAGGATATCGGCCCGTTCTGCATGTCATTTCATCACGACTTTTTCGCTCCGAAGCGCGCCCGGGCGTGAAATGTCGTAAATGCATTCGGAATGTCAGTTCTTGCATGTCGGCGCTTAAGAATGGACGTTGCCTTTGGTCCGTATCGCGGCTAGTGCGCTGCGGCTATATAGAGTATGTGTCCCATTTTGTGTTCTTCCTTCCGTATCTCGCTCGTTTCGTGCCATGCCGTGTTTTCGTCGCTGGACGTGATGACAATCTGGGACGAGCCCACGTCTTGGAGAGGGATAATCATGGTGAGTACATGCTTTCCTCTCCCTTTCATCCGTGATCAGGTGGCACCTTTATATTTTTAGGTCCAAATCACGTGCCTTGACCTCTGTTGCAGTGTTTCGGCACCAGGTCTCGCATGGGGGACATTCAGTGCCTGTGACCTCTCCACTGCTTTAGGTACGTCAAGAAATTAGCAAATTCAATCTTGCATTTCATTCATTGCGCCTAAGTGAATCGAGTTCTTCCAGACCGTCATACAAATTCGTGGTTGCGATCGAGTCAGTACCGCAACGCTTCTTCATCGTTTCAGTCTTAGCGATGGATTTTCGTCCTGCCGGTCAGCCGTGTCGCAGAGAGAATACATTCGGCGTCCGATGAAATCTGCACTCTTGCCTCGCGAGTACGGAGTGTCCCAAGTCTCAAGAAACCTGTCCACATTGTCGGCGCCGCAAGATTCTCGAGGCGCGCGCAGCCGCTGGCTCGCGGCTTCTTCTCGCCGACAGATGGAGAGAGGTGGCACGGGTGATTTGATGCCCACGTGAGGAGTGGGCTCCAGCGTAGTGAGCGGTGGAAAGGGTGAAGCGAGAGAGAGCTCACATGCGGTGAGCACCCGGCAGGTGAGGGAGAGAGACGCCAAGTAACACTGCTGGGAGGGCGTGAGCTAGTTGGCACCACTCGAACTCCTGCGGCGAGGGGAACTCCTGCGGCAAGGTGCGGACGGTGGGACAGCGTTACACAGGCTAGACAAAGAGCTGCTTCGCATCTAAAAACCAGTCATCACACGATGTTAACTGCACAACGAATGTGTGTTTTATTGCTTCACACCCTCTGCAAAGTGCTCAGTCGCAATTTTTTTTTTTTTTCGTTAGCCAGATGCAGCATCAATAAGGTGCACATAGTTACAAGTGTCTAGCAGGTACCTCGCTTATTCGAGAAAAGACGAATAATGGCATAGTGAGTTGTTGCACCCTAGTTTTTACTGATATTACGTTTCGTATCGTTGTCGAGACCTTGCGAAATGCTAAAATTTTTAAGCACAGTTGGCCTTGCCTTAACGCCTTCGCTCAAATCTTGCATTGGGCTGTACCGTTATTGTCGGTGACATTCTGGGACGAAACTTCTTATGCCATGGGTCGTGCGACCGCGATGTAAGTAGTAGTTGTTGCAGTAGCAGTCGTTACAGTAGTAATAGGTAGTCGCCTCTCGTTTAGTCCTTGGAATGTTCGCTAGATGGTGGTGCTTCTATATGATGAATATATGATGAAAAGATGCGAGATGGCGGTACTTGGAGTGTTCACTAGATCGACGGACGGACAGGTGCACAGATGGTCGGACAGCTGGACGCACGGATGGATGTGCGGGCGCGTGGACGAACGGACGGACGGATGTATGGACGGAGAGATGACGTCCGCTTCGCCCCACTGATAATCATTCAGTCCGTGGATATGCTGTGAAATTTTCTTTCACCGCAGATCTATCAACATTTATGTTATCTTTAGTCTTTGTGTTTGTTTTGTGTTCCCAAAGGTGCTGAGCCCCGTTGCTTGCACACGCGAAGCTGCTCTTACTTAGCGACTACCTCCTGCACGACCTGCTTTATCTGTGCTCCCTATCTTACTATACCATTAATCATGACTGAATGCCGATCTTTTGTTACCAAACTAGCTGCCACGAAGGTTCGTGCAAAAGGGCTGAGTAAAGTGGATGAACTGATTTTAAGACACCCGCAGACTGGTACTTCACTCTGTCCTGTAACTGTGAAACACTGATTCGAATACGGATTGGCGTTGCCCACGATGTGGGGAGACCTGTGACGTCTTCTGCATGGTGTGGACATGTGCGGAAAATCCCCAGCTGCCCCCTTCTTCTACCCCTTTCCGAGAGGCATGGGAGACGGCTCTCCCCAAATGCTTCTCACTGGGGTCTCAACGGACTCTGGTGGGATGGGCGTGAGTTGGGGCCTCGTCATGCAGTGCCCCTGATTAGGGATGCTGACCATGCAGCGGGGTCATGTTATGGCCCCCAAATCTTCTCTCTCTTTTTTTTATAGAATATCTGTCTACATCTCGCTTTCTCTTTCTCAGTCCTAATTCTCAGCTTGAACTCCTTGCACGCCATAAGCAGCAAAGAATGAAGCGGGGATGAATAGTAATATACATAGTCTAATTTTGAGCTTAAGTCATGTTGCACACAAACTAATCGAGTTTGGTCTCCCAAACAGAACGACATCATAGAGACTCGTCTCTTTAAACAGAAACGAGGAAGCTTTAAACGCCAATAATGCCTTCTTTACTTATTTATGATTGGATGTGGTTTATTTTTTATTCTCCGTTGTCTGGCAGATGATGAACGCGAAAACGCTTTCTGTAACTTCACTTAGTTGTAAGGACAAGCAACTGGCTTGAGTGCATGATCCCGAAACTCTATAAGAAAATATGGAAAAGTCGTACGATGGCATTCAAAACGCAGATTATTAAGATAAATAATTATCGGAGTGCCTAAGTGTAAAACACCGAGAATCAATAAAAGCTAGAAAAAAAAGAAAAAGCCGAGAGTTCCAATTACCCAGAAGACTGAAACACCGAAACATTACCTAGCAATCTGACATTTTGATGTTTGATTCTGCGGGGCCTAAAACTTGCGAATTTTTCGTGTCTTAAGCTTCTTCATTACAATAATTGGTCCTTTAGATTTTCGCCATTTCGAACACCACCCTTCTCACGAGCAAGTTAAAAAAAAGGGGGGAGGGCAGCAAACAGCAAACACGACATGCTTCCATAGAAGTAACAATGTCTCGACGGCCATGAAATGCGTGAGAGGTATGTCTGAGTCATCTGTGTCGCTTGGTTGACGCCACTCATTTTTCGAAAAATTATCATGCATAGTTTGGTAGCATTGTCGATTAGAGTGTGCCGCAGATGCGGCCACGAAGACACACTAGAGCATATTATTTGCTCCTGCCCTGCCAAGGCTGCCGAGTGCCGCATGATGGCGAGCAACTATGAGCGGCTCGGTCTCCCTGCGACAACTGCAGAGGACTTCCTTTTTCCCGCACGCGCGAAGATATCGGCTGTGCTATAGCGTTCCTCGAGTTTGCAGTTCCTGCAGACCTCTCCACCCTGTAGCCGAACGCTTTGCCTTCGTGCTCCTGCCTGCGATCACAATAGACACTATCTTGCCATACATCTCGCTTCTTTCTAACTTCTTTTCTTCTTATCATCCCTACTCCAAAGGCGCTGAGCCGGGCCCCTGTGATGGGATCGATGCAGAAAATAGCGTCCTTTTTCTATCTTCCTCTTTGTACAAACCAATCTCTAGATCTTTCTCTCGATTAGAGTATTTTTTAACTTTTATTTTCTAGGAGATGCTGAGTCAGCGATGACTAAGCGCCCACCTGCAGTGCAGGATTTCCTGGGTTGGATTCCCACTGTGTACGCATGTCGACAGGTTTTTTTCTACTGGGGATATAGGTGGCGTGACAGTGATGCTCGGTGGTGTGAGTACACGTCTCGAAAACCTAGCGCCTTGCGAAAATACATACGGACTACCATTGGCTGCCTTTAAATTCAAAATACCTATGGCACTGTACACAACAGGAGTACGAGTTGCCTACAATGCCGTAACGACACCCATTCGATTCTTCTTAGCTGTTTTTTCTTTGCACCAGGGGCGTGCGATCGTTCAGCAAGTTACGAGGAAAAAAAGACTGCTATCCACTTTACTCACCTTTGTGAGAATCGGTTTTGCTGCTTTCAGAGTCATTGCACGCCAACACCACGACCTGTCCTAGTAGCCAGGCAACCAGCCTGGTAACTATAAAAAGAAAACTAGGAGTTTCGCATGTGGATAGACGACACGTCATTGCCGACGAGAGCACTCGGTAAACACAAAGTACCAAAATTTTGAGCATTTAAGGCTCCCCCTTTACGGACGAGAGAGTCACCGCCCTGTCGGCACAAGGACCATGTTTACGATAACGCACCCATACTTGTCCGACAAGTTTACTGACACATGAGCGATACACACTAACGTAGTTCTTTGTGTTTATGTGTCATTGATTTTGTCCCCGCTTCGATGCGCTGCATTTATGGATGCTACGAATCACCAACAAACCCACCGTGCATATTTAGTTACCTAGACCCTGCCTTTCGGCTTTTCCCCAGTGATTTCAGAAAAAGACAGATTTCTCTAAATAAAGGGAGGAGGGGGTGAGGGATTCAGGAGGAACCCATTCTTGACAAGAAAATGCTCCGCCCACAGTCATCCCCCTGACTATCTCCCCCTCCGCACTGCTTTCACCCTTACGAGTTGCAGATACAAATGTATCTCCTTGCCATCTGATCTCGAACCTGTGTCACGGTAGCTACCATCGTTATCTCTCAAGAAGGTGATTTCTAGTTCACGTCTTGCTCGCGCTGTCACAGGCCCAGCACTTCGAGAACCGTTTAACTGTCGCTGACGTCGAGATGAAGCTTCCGCCTGAACCTCTGGACGTCCCCAACGCCGACTCGTTGAACGACGAGGCCGAGTACTCGCTCGCCGCAGAGTTTGAGTCGGACACCACGTGGGGCAGCAGCAGCATTGACGAGGCGAGCACCGACACCGCAAGTGAGCTCTCGGATGACGATCCTGGGGCCTCACTTTTTCTTGACACGTCCTATGACAGCGACGAGATGGACTGCGAGAACTCCGTTAGCAGTGTCGAGTCCTTGGATGGCGCGGTCGAGGACCCACTCGTGCCAGAGTGTCCACTGCCGTCGGGCGCCCCATCTTGCAGCGGCGAGAACGTCGATAATCGTTTTGTGTTGCCTCCGGAGGAATGGAACCCGTTCAACTTCGAGCACGAAGTAACGTCGCATCAGTGCCTGGTGCGCTGCAGACACGATGTTATGAACCTCATCACCGATCCACCGCCGGGAGTGTACATCGCGCCCCAGGAGAACGACATCACGAGGATTCACGCACTGGTGATGGGCCCAATGAACACGCCGTATGAAGGTGGCTTCTTCCATTTCTTTATACAGTGCCCGCCCGACTTCCCCATCAAACCACCTCGCGTGCGCCTCTTGAACACCGACGGTGGTCGCCTGAACTTTCATCCGAACCTGTACGAGAGCGGCCAAGTATGCCTCAACATTCTCGGCACCTCGGACTGGAGTGGAGTGCCGGTGGAGTGGTGCCCTGCTATGACCCTCGCCAGCGTGCTAGTATCTATACAGTCGCTGATGAGCGAGAAACCGTCCTGGAGCGTGGAGGAGGACGACAGCGAGCGGTCCTGCCTGTTGGTGCAACACGAGACAATCCGGGTAGCCGTCTGTGACGCCATCGAAGCTTGTATCAACGGAACGTCTTTCTTACCGTCATGCCTACGAGAAATAGCGCTACTAATCTTCCTAGACAACATCGACAAATATCTTGCGGTGATGGGGTCTAATCTGAGTCTTACAGGTAGGGCAATGTGGTACCCCTCGGGCTATCCAGCCAGGACGCGGGCGCTGTACCAGTACGGAGCTTTGGTCACTAGACTCTGGAGGCTGGAAACAGAAGTCCAGGATTTGCTGAAGGCCAGGGACACGGTACAACAATGAGTGACTTTTGTACCTTTCCGCAGCGGAGGCCCGATTGTAAGTGCACAAAGGTTACTGCATCATGTTTCTGTTGTCTGCACTACAAAGTAAGAATGGACAATCGCAGCTTCCTCGTTAGAGTCGAAAGCTTCGAAAAAATATTCAAGATTTTAGTCAACTACAAAATTGATAAGAAAACTTGTGTACGCTGGTCATTATACTCAAACAAAGGCGCTTACGACCAATCTTTGTTCCGATTGGCTGCATGCTGCCTGCTGATTCCCTTTTCCGATTTAGCACGAGTGTACTAAAAAAAAAACATCGGAGAAAATACTGGGATATATGGCATCGTTCTCCTGTTTGTTTTGTCACGTGCTTGCAGATGAGTTCTGTCGGTTGCAGAAAATATGGTATTTTCGTTTGTCATGGTTATAACTTATACACCTTGCACCAATAAATGACCACGTAGAAGTTGCGAAGGGTTACATGTATGGATTCTTTTCAACTGACTGCTCATTCGAAAGTAACCTGTCTCATAAATGGTCACACAAGAAGAGCGACATCATCCCCCCCTCACCCCTACTAAGCGTTTTTGTATGGTCTCGTCAACAAACTGCAGGGGAAAGGTGAAGGGAATCTTTAGTACAATCAGTTGTACTTCTCACGAATAACTTTATTTATCAGTAGTACCAGCCCTCATACAGTGTCATCAGTGGGAGAACATTACAATTACCTACATTAGATCTAGAAGGTGTGCATGAGTTTCGCGTTATATGCGCTTCACAATGATTACGGATAATATTTTAAATGCTGTTCGGGGCAAATAAAGTTAACTGACATTTTTCAAAACTTGTAGGATGAACCCGAAGTCGCCTACGTTGCCCTGAAAAAAATTCAATTGAACGCTATAGCGAATACGCCTTCACAAGATTTTCAAAGTTGATGACATCTTTTATAACAACAAAAGGAGATAGTTTGTTGCGTTTTCCTATCGGAACAGGGGAGACGTAATATGGATGTGCATCAGCATATGTTCCGTACGGGCCCCGCCACGGTTGTCTAGTGGATAAGGTAGTCGGCTGCTGACCCGCAGATTGCGGGATCGAATACCGGATGCGGCTGCTGCATTTTCGATGGAGGCAAAAATGATGTTGGCCCGTGTTCTCAGATTTGGGAGCACGTAAAGAACCCCAAGTGGTCAAAATTTCCGGAGCCCTCCACTACGGCGTTTCTCATAATCATATCGTGGTTTCGGCACGTTATACAGCCCATATCAAATCATATGTTCCGTACGGTTTTATAACACAATCGTTCGAGGCTTTTTTTTCGTGGAGTGTGTAAATATCTGAGCGTATCAATGTTAAATTGATCGTGAATTACTTGAAAAAATAACTTGAACATGTATTTATTTCTACGTATAGCTCAAGAGTACCCAAGTAAGGTCGCTATAACATCTGCGTGACAGATTATTTCCTTCGTTGTACATTAAACAAATAAAAGGCGTCGCCAGATTCTGTACTCTTTTCAGTATTCATGAACTCTATCAACAACGCCTCAGTATTTTTGTATCGTTCAAATGAAATTGGTGTATGCATGGTCATGGTTTTTGTCTTTTTTTCATGACGTACGTAACCTTTAATAGGCTGTCATGAAGACGTGATCTATATGTTCATTAAAAGTCCACTTTTACGTTACTGCCCCCCCCCCCCCCCCGAGCTGCTTGAATTGAACTGGTGCGCATGCACGAACAATTGTCGACTTTATACGGAAACCGGCGTCGACCTTATACGGAAAGGAACGAACAGTTTTTTTTTTGCTGGTGTTTTCATTTCCTACATCAGACATCTAAATTCCGCAAACATTTCTCAACATTAAGTACACTCTTAGAAAGAAGGTGGCAGTACTTGCTAACTTTGGGGTAGTAATGGTTTGTCACATATGTTACAACCCTGGTAGTAAGCGCAGTTAGTAACGGTGAGGGTGGTAACAGTTACTACCTTTGCCGTTACTACCAGCAGTTATTAACTGTTACTCCCCTAGCCGTTACCACCCATGGGTAGTAACTTTTAGAGGTTTCAAAAAGTAGCAACCGATACTACCTTGTTTATTTATTTTGGCATATTATTTCTCCACTGCTAATGTTCGCCAATCAATGTCTCCATTAGTAAACAACTTCGGGTAATGTAGCGCGGTGTGTCGTGAACGCGAAGAACACATAGACCTAGCAAGTTCACTTTTTCTGAACGCATACACGTAGTAGGAAGTACGCATGGGGTATATATAGCCCCTATTTGCATGGCATGTCTGGCACGGGGGAGCACTTGTTTCAGGATGAATTATAACAAATTTGAACCTACAGCACTATATTTTACTACCTGGTTACGTATTTTGGGGGCGTAGCACAAGACTTTAATTTAGCCTTACTTATTAAAAAATTATGTATATATATTTATTATAAAAAGGTCACAAAAAGGCGCTATGGACAGTGGCCCAAACAAGGCGATGAACTCCTCCTCAGTGCATTTCAATGCTTCACACGGCTAATGTATCAGCGTTTACAAGGCAATTTTTGTTTTTGGGGATTGACGCGCCAAAACAATAATAATGTTTAGAGACACGCCGCAGTAGATTGATTGTGACCGTTTTCGGGGCTAATTGCGACCTTCTGGTTATTTTGATAAGCCGGTCTTGTTAATATGGGCTGTAATTTACTAAGTTTGATGCAATTGTTTATAGCAACGCGTGTAGACTTGCATATGGTTTGTTAACTTCTACTTCTCCGTTTCGACAATACCAGAATCACATTTACCTATCTCAGTTGCGTAATTTAAAACAAAATCTATTTTCTTGATCTATAGATATCCTCTGCGCCATTTTTGTTTAATGATAATACGTCAAGACGATTCCTCTCATAAATAATCAGAATCGGGATCACACACTATTTTGGATTAAACAGTCAGCAGCCGGGTAGCAAAAAGTAGTAACGGAGAAAGAAAGGTAGTAATGGCTGCAGTTACTACATCTTTCATTCCGGTTACTAACTGTTTACTAACGTATGTAGTAAACAGGTCACAAAAAGTTAGTAATGGTAGCAGCTAGTAAGTGTTTACTAACGTAGGTAGTGAACATGTAGCAAAAGTGTAGTAGCGGTCTAAGTAGGGTAGTAACTGCTGCAGTTACTACCTATTTGCTTGCAGTTGCTACCTTTTTACTAACTTTTTTTAAGAGCGTAGGTCGTCTAGCTTGGTAATTGTGACGTAGAGCAAACAGTCGTCTGAAGAAAAGATTTAACCTGAATACCCTCTTCTGCCACGCTACTGATTTAATAGACGAGAAGCACTACAAGGCCCAATACTGAGCTTTCGGGCATGCCTGACAATAACTGCTAAAGCAAATTATACGTAGCCGTGCAGATTAAGTACCTTCGTACGGTGTCTCAAATGTGCTTCAATTCATTTTATTAACGAGTTCACTTATAACTGCCTATGTAATTTGAAAATTAATCACAGATGATACTTTGTCGAATGCTTTTGCTCAATCCGCGGAAACCATATCAACATGTAGTCTTATATCTACTGCACTCACAGAATAATGAATTCTTTCTAATAACTGTATCGAGGTTGGGCGGCCAGACAATGAAATCATCTTGATAAAGATACAGTGAAGTGTTGCGATCTTGAAACTTGAGTATATCTTTTGAAGTTACACGTTGGTACGCTCAGCGAATAACTGAAATAAGGGACTGTGGGCGGCGATTTCGTGCCACTCTTCGGTAACCTTCTTTAAATGAAGGAATGACGAATGCTGTGCGGCAGTGCTGTGGCATCATGCGTGTCGTGTACGTTTTTTAAATACTCAATGTTGTACAACAGCAAGGGGGGGGGGGGATTTAAAGCGTAACCATGACATGGTTCCGAAGAAATGGCAATGTCTTCCAGGCCACGAGGTAGCGAAAAGTTTGTCCGTGTCATCCATCACGCCACTTATCTTCAAAAAAGTGATCACGAATGGTTCACTATTCCTGTTAACAATGACGATGAAAGAGTTCCGTACCTGATTTTACCCTTTCAGGAGGCGTTGAGTCAGCGATGATAAAGCACCCGCCTACAATGCAGGAGATAGGGAGATAGATATGCCTTGTCTGGTTTTTCTAGTGGGGATATGGGTGGCTGGACAGTGACGCTGGATGGCCTCAAGATCAAGATAAATTGTTTTGATAGTTTTATGTTCTGCGTGCATGACATGCAGCTAATTGTTTCTTATTGAGTTCAAAATTTTATTATTGTTATTGAAGAGGATGGGAAGCCTTATTCATCGACGAGGGCAGGGCGACGTCTAAACCCTGCATTTTTCGCACAAAATTGGCTTTAATGAAACTGAAGAACGCGGATCCTTGAGCACGTGCATCCGCACTTGTATTTGAAACACGCGTATCAATCAAGTCGAAGAGGCTGCGCAAGTCAGTATAATTCATTTTAGCCAGCGGCGAACGTGATGAACGCTCTGTAATGTAGTCTGCGTTAACCTTATAGGGACCACTAATGATCTGGCGATTGTTTGTAAGCACCTCATTTAGCAGCTATCAAGTATCGAATAATAACAATTGTTAGAAGTTAACGCCCCGAAATCACCACATGATTATGAGAGAAGCCATTTAGTAGGGGTTGACCAAGTGGTCTAAAACACCAGACTCAAGCAATTACTGAATGTGCTTCATGTAATACTTTAGGTATTATAATGCTCGTTCGGGAACCCACGTATCATATACATGCGCCATTTAAATATTATAAAGACAGGAAAAACTTTTTTTGAACAAAAATACTGGACCAAGTCGCTGAATTGACTGTTCACATTTTCTTAGTATAGGATTGGAAAGGTTTAGGTGGAATGCACGGCATAATTATCGTGGGATTACCAAAAAAATATCATCAGAAATCTTTTAAAAAAATGTTATGGTGCATGTGTGAACAAAGATATTTTTGACCCGGCAATATTCACTCGAAACAGTTGACGGCAACGAA